TAACTGAAATGATCCGATAATGCCGTGAGTATACAAGCAACAAGCATTCAGTCAGATTAAATAGGTTGAGCATGTGCAGAGTTGTCTTTCCCAGAAAAATATTGTAAACAACATTCTCTAGCTTTGTCCGTTAGCTTGCATTTACCCCATTATGAACATTCTTCACATTTTTATCTGTATGCTTTTGTTTTTCCTGATCACTTTAAATAAGCTACAGGCTCAGCGGTGCATAACACTGCTGCTCCTCCGCCACAGGAGAGGAGAGCAGGATAACTTCCGTTTACCTCCCGCCATGTTTTCCACGTCCTGAGTGTCTGCAAAGGCAGAAAGACGTCACTCCAAGGTTGCACACATACCCAGTGGGCATTATTTTACTCCAACAATCCGAATGGGTGTCAGGGTATCTGCAGGTTTAAGGGAGCCAAATTTAAGACTTTTTAAGACCTTTTTTAAGGCCACTTTGACAAAAATTTAAGCTATTTTTAAAAATTAAATTTAAGCTATAATTTCCAGTCATTGCCTGGAACCGGTGCTAACCACGTCACGAATGTGGCATTGGCCATCCAGTTACCATTAAACTTGCACTTCTCCATGGCGCAAGCTCCCACTAGCTTAACCAGCTAATTAGCTCATCTAAAAATAGCCCCCTTTCACAACCAACTGAATGTGTACGATTCCGCTTATGCCAACATCGTACACAAAAAATGCTGAACACTAGAAATTCATGAAAATTTTTTAGAAATAAAATTGGGTATTTGGTAATTTAAGACCTTTGGAAACTGCACTTAAGGATTATTTGTCATTTTATGGATTTTTAGGGCCTTAAATTTGGAAAAGCAAATTTAACACTTTTTAAGACTTTTTAAGGACCCGCGGATACCCTGGGGTGTGTACATGGACGTCAATTGGAATGATGACCCGACAAACCCACCTCTCTCAACCGGAACAGAATTAAATTCCAATTGGGGCGTATCGGATCAGAATATTCCGATGGGCATGTTTACATGAGGAATTTTAGATCTGATAGGGCGTTCATTCCGATTACTTGTGCCCATGTAAACGTAGCTAAATTTAATTGTCAATCAATGTGAAACTGGTGGCTTTGCTCAAGGTTACCAGAATCTCATCCGAGCAGCACAAGCAATTTTAATCGTTCTTTACTTATTCAGGTTCAAAGTTCAGGTATGGTTATGATCTCGTGAGGAAAATGAGATTTACCTCTGGGAGAAAGTAGCTCATTAATTTCATCAGCTGCTGAGCCTGCCTGCAAGTACGTTAATTTACCAAAGATTTATGAAAACTGACTCTCGGCCAGGAACTCCTGTTGAACACTTAATCCTTCTTGTAGGATTTATCATTTTAATAAGAGCCTTTAGTAATAAAGATTTCAGCATTAAAGCAGGTTTGCGGCTGGGGTTTTAGAAACACAGCATTTAGGTTCTGGGGAGTTTGTTTATGAGATGTTGATTAATGCTGTCACATTTTTCTGACTGTTGTAGGTTATAATGTTTAATGTGGTAATGAGGTAGCTGGAACATTTCAAATCGTGCCTCAGTTATATTTAAGATTTTGTTTTTACCTTTGAGACCATAAAAAAGGCCAGACCATAATCTGAATTAGTGTTGAAGGACAACGTGAGCCTTGGGGGGCTGTGGTTTCATGACACAATATCAGACTCAAATGTTAGAGCGGGTCACTGAAGCTGGACAGAATGGGATCTAATTTAAGAATGTGAATAACTCGGACACGTGTTATGATCCATGAATCTACCCGACATGTCAGCCTAAACTAACCCTTTAATGCTTTAGTTCCATCGGGCTGCAGCGACGCTCGGCTCGTCTTCCTTTGCTCATTTAAACATAAATAAACCAAGCTGACCAAGTCCCACATTCTGTGTTTAAATACCTGAAACTGATGTTAAAACCAGTTTAGTGACAGAAATTCATACTGTTACTGCGCTGCTCCAGATGTTTGATTGACAGATATGTTTTTTGCATTTGCATCCACACACAGTCATTAGTGACATAGCTGCTTATTTTAAGCAAGTCCGCTGCTGATTTGTGAAGTAAAAAAAAAGTACAACAGTTTTACAGTTGATCTCATTGTATATTTTACTTTAACCCTTGATCCTGTGTGAAATGGAAAATAAACGAGAAAATACACTAACCAATCCCAGAATGATTGACCAGCCAACTGATCAGAATAATGTGGATGAAAACGTTTTTCATCCATCCATTATCATCCGCTTATCTGGAGTTGGGTCGCGGGGGCAGAAGCCTAAGCAGGGAGGCCCAGACTTCCTTTTCCCCAGCCACCTGGGCCAGCTCCTCCGGTGGAATCCCAAGCTGTTCCCTGGCCAGGTGAGAGACATAGTCCCTCCAGCGAGTCCTGGGTCTATCTTCCTTCAGGTCTCCTCCCAGTTAGACAAGCATGGAAAACCTCACCAGGGAGGCGTCCAGGAGGCCTCCTCACCAGATGCCCGAGCCACCTCAACTGGCTCCTCTTGAAGTGGAGGAGCAGCAGATCTACTCTGAGTTCCTCCCAGATTACAGAGCTTCTCGCCCTATCTCTAAGGGATAGCCCATCCACCCTGCGGAGAAAACTCATTTTGGCCGCTTGTATCTGCGATCTCGTTCTTTCAGTCACTACCCAAAGCTCATGACCATAGGTGAGGGTAGGAACGAAGATCGATCGGTAAATCGAGAGCTTCGCCTTCTGACTCAGCTCTCTCTTCACCACGACAGACCGGTACAACGCCTGCATCACCGCAGATGCAGAACCAATCCGCCTATCCATCTCACGCTCCAGTTTTCCCTCACTCGTGAACAAGACCCCGAGATACTTAAACTCCTCCACTTGAGGCAGGACCTTGACATTTTTCATAAGCTGGGTTAAGCCTCAGGAGGTGCATTCTCCCAAAGTCGACATCACAGCGATGTGACGAGGGCGGTCCACATTCAAAGGGTCTTCCAAATGCTGCCAACAAATGTATCCTACTTTTCCCAGATATGAAGGACAGGTCTAGGGTTTTCTTCGTTGTCCACCATATTCCAAAGTTTGACTGCTTGCTGAACGGGAGATTTTAGTTTTTTCGTAACAGTGGCGAACGAAGCGTGACAGGATTACAGATTTAAATATGAGCATAATAAAATCTGGCTGTACAAAACTGATAGCTTAACCCTCCCACTGTCTTTATGGGTGACCCCGCGAGGAAAGTTGACCATTGAGCAGGGTTGATGGTTCATCCCTTGAGGTCCACGTGGCAGGGGTGAGGTGGTACTCACTCCTCACCCCTGCCACATGGACCCAACCCAGGGTTGATAAACCATCAATCCTGCTCAATGGTCAACTTTCCTTGTAGGGTCAGCCATGAAGACAGTGGGAGGGTTAAAGCTGTTGTGTTGCTAGGCAACAGGACACACTCCATCAGCTAAACATCCATTTAGCACATGAAATTGGACAAACTAGACTAGAAATGAAGTGAACAATCTAATTTTACTACAAAAATCTTCAGGACCGTTGCCGTTGTGCATTATTTATAACTTCTGCTTAAGTGATTATTACAATTATCCTTTTCTGACCTGTTGGATGGAAAACTGCTCCTAATCATTCTGTTGCTAAGTAAGAAGCAGTCATGTGATTTCAACATACAGACGCGTTTCTAGTTTCAACCAGTTTGTGTGTTCTGTTACGAGTAAGCCGACGCCAGTTTGTTTTGACTTTGTTCCTGATGACTCGTCGACGAAAAGCCTAAAACTCCTCAGCAGACTGGAATCTTCCCGTTAGCGTTCTGGCTCTCACTACAGGTAATTGTCCCCGGTCTGTCTCTTCTTCCTAAAATCTGTTTTTGACGCTTCATAAAAATAAAGTCAGACAAGACAAACCGAGTCGGCCGTGCTCTCCCTTTTGCCTGGTTAGGCTTCTCTTTTCTTGGTACCGACTCCCACTTCACTCACCAACTGGCTCTGTGACTACCTCCTTTACCGGAGCAGAGGTGGATCGGGTTCCTTCAGCATCAAACGTGTCACGTGTGTGATTTTGGAGCACGAAGAAAGCATCTTAAGACATGCAGGGCTTCCCCCAGCACTTTATACAGGGCTGCATGGTGGCGCAGTGGTTAGCACTGTTGCCTCGCAGACGAAGGTTGCAGGTTCGAAACTCGGCTGCAGCCTTTCTGCGTGGAGTTGCGTGTTCTCCCCATGCATGCGTGGGTTTCCTCCGGGTACTTCAGTTTCCCCCACAGATCACCCTATAGGTTATAAATTGTAAGTCACTTTGGATAAAAGCGTCTGCTAAATGAATAAGCATAAACCTGGCGGCCCACCAGGCTAAGCGTCATGCCCTGCCCCCCTCCCCGACACGAACGGCGCAACGAAACTAGAGCCCTCCATCAGCTGATACTGGTGAGAAGCAGCAGCGGAACGTGTGCAACCCCCCCACCCCCGCTCTCATGGAGAAGCGCCGCGGGATGGAGCGCGTGACCACTCCCTCCACGGCCGAAGCCGCCAGGCTTAAGACATTTTCTGGGGGAAACCCTGGACACATTACATGATTCAACGGTGCAGAATCCTCTGTTTGGTTTTTATAATTCCTATTTTTGGAGCCAGTTCGTGGCTTTTCATCATCATCATCATGAAACTTGTTTTGAATTTTACTGATTTGGTTCCTGCTTCTGCATTAGCCTATAACTTGCGTGTAGTCCTGCATTCCTCTAGAAGGTTTAGACAAAAGGCCTTAAGTCATGTAGGAAATCCCGGACATGGTGGCTCACAGGAACCCAGTTCCCACCCAGCATTCACTGAATGTGGACGTGTTTGGAAGCAGTGCTCCAACAGAAAACACTCTTCTGTAATTGCAATGTGTCGTCTTGTGTTTGTCTTCATTACTCCTCTGATCTAAACGGCTTTAAATGATTATCCTCATTACTGTTCTGTATCAAACATTCATTATAGCTCAAAGGCATTTGAGAGATTATCCTCGATGGGAGTAAAATATCTCACCAGTGTGATGAATCTCAGGAGGGCCGGATGCAGAAAGGAGCTTTCCCCTGAGCTGAGCAGGCTCTGCAGGAGGATTCGAGACCATGGCTGACACGCTGCGTATTTGGCTAACAGAGACAAGTGACAAACACAATTATATTGGCTCTTTGTTCTAAATCTACCTACAGTCTGAAAACTGGTAATACATCCAAACACAGAACACCAGAACAGAAGTCATGAGGAAAACTTAAATACTTTTATTAAAAACCGTGCAAAAATATTCAAGTAAAAGCATTTCTGTTATTATTAAAGTGGAAACAGCACACGTTTATAAACAATAACAGTTTTCCATTCAGAAATCACTAAACTACTAAATGCATGTCACTCCAGCTGCTCATAAGTCTCACTTTCAGCCTGTTTGGTACCTGTAACGGGACTTCTTCTTCTAAGGAAGCTCATAAGGGAGCTCAGACAGCCAACGGAGGTTTGCAACAACAACTCGTGTTTCTAAAAGGGAAGAGAATCAGAAACACAACATGAGCCTTAGAATATTCAGCTCTTAGCGTATAAAAAACATGTTTTCTTTGCGGTTTGAAACTTTACAAAAGCAACTTCCAAACACAAATGGTCTCTGAGGGCTGTTGCAAGCTTCAGGAAGCCAATATTCTTAATTTATCCTGCAGAACGTCACGAGTCCTTAAAGCTGCAGGAGTCGCAGGACTTCTTATCTATCCTCTTTGAATAAAGTTTATCTTCCCTGGCTCGTATAATGACTTTAAAACTTCACAAGTTCATATATTGTGGAATGAACAATATGTTTAAATCCAAAGTGTTTTAATAATGTGTCCTATACTTTACATTAATGAATGATGGGTTAAAATGAATATTTTTCCTGTAATGATTCATTTCAGATCTTAAATTACACCAGATTAGTATTTGAGTGAAAGTAAACGGTTTGTTGCTGATTAACACACACATACTAATGAGCTCAAATCAATATGTGGCTTCTAAAGAAGTAATTCAAGGGGAATAGTTATTCTGCATTAATAACCAAAAATATTTTGTTCTGGTTTTATGTAAATGAACACCAAACTCCACATGTTAATAGAGCCTAAACAACAATCAATTAACCACTTGTAAGCAAGAACATGTTCCCCATTCTAAAGTCAGATTTTGTTCGTACCTAATTACTAGTAGTTTTGTATTAATTAACCATTTAAAGGCAAGAATAAGTTCCCCTTGAATTACTTCTTTAAAAGTCACATATTGATCTGAGCTAATTAGTATGCGTGTTAATCAGCAACAAACCATTATGAATGGCTTATTTAGATAAAACTCTTAATTTATGACTTGTTAATATTTGAATTACAGCATTAGTAATAAGCTCTTAATAAGTGCTTAATAATGACTAGTTCAGACTTAGTAGGCCGCTGATATGCACATTAATTGGCAGCTAATTAATGGAAAAATTGTGTTCCCTAAACTTAAATGTAACCATATTTTTTTAAATAATAACTTTTGAAACATTCCTTAAATTACCATCGTCCCAAACTGACGACATTTAAATCTCAATACATGGGCTTGTATAGGTTTCTCTGGTAAAGGAAACCACCCACTTACCTTGTTAACGTTAATACCATCTATAGTATCTAGACATAAACAGAACCCACGCATCAAACACTGATTTGTCCAACCAACATTTTTTATTTCCAAACTTTGTAAAGTTTTAAAACAATTATCAAAAGCAGGTTTAACTGAGTCTCTGAAGCCAAAGCTTGTTAAATTTATACTTCCATTGACATAAAAAGCTAGTTTGATTTTAAACAAGCCGTTTCAGGAGCAGAGTAACTGGAATCCTTCATGGAGAAGCTTGAATTGAGCGCTTTGGGCTTCCTGACAGGGTTGCGGAAGGCGCTTTATAAATAAAGCTTTGATTGATTGATTGATTGAATGTCTGCTGGTAAGTTTAATCTAATACAGCGGCTGTAACATGTTGTAGTTCTGTCCCAGTGAAGTAAAACCCAAAGTACTCAGGCAGAACTACAACTATAAGGAACGAAAAAAATCCCACAAAATGTTTTTTTTAAGAAAAAAGCAAATAATGAGTAAACATGCAGAACTGAGATGTGAATAAATGTTATTTTATCACTTTTTATGGGAAATCTGGATTTATTTAAGATTTCCTAGAGCAGAAGTTCAATGAAAAACCATTTTTTCTTTATTCTTTTTTAAATATGATCGGTCACTCTGAGTTTCACATGCATGAAGAACATTAAAATTGCCTTCTAGCTCCATCGCCTGAATTAGCCGTCAGAAAAGTAAGTAGACGAGGAAACGGTCAGGCCCTTCCACGCCACAGAGAAATGGGTTTATGGCCTCAAACACCTTCGCTTGCAACCTCAGAGAGCTGTGTTGATTTAGCAGCCAGGAGAGAGCAGAGCACGTCTAGGCTAGTAGAAGCTAACCATTAGCATTAGCAACTCCACCACACGGCAGAACTTTTTCAGGTTATTTGTGGAGATAAAACATCAATGTTGGTGAGTGAACAGTCAGTGATTGCGTTGAAATTAGCCAATGAGAAGAGACATGTTCACATATCATGAATAATAATGAGTTAGACGCCAAACTCACGGTTTTCTGCTTCCTAAAAGAGGAGCGCCAGAGCTGTTTATCCACAAAAATGAATCACAAGGCTTTGTTGCTACAAGAGACCACTGCAAATATATTGATGTTTATGTATTTAGCAGACGCTTTTGTCCAAAGCGACTTACATGTGATAATCGGCATATTGCCCTTGAGGCTAACAACAACAATAACAACAACTTGACATCAATCATGAAGAGGAGGGAACAAGGAGTAGACGGTAGAGAGGGGGGACGGGTGCAGGGAGGGTGCTAGTTTAGAAGATGCTCTCTGAAGAGCAGGGTCTTCAGGAGTTTCTTGAAAATTGAAAATGAAGCCGCTGTTCTGGTAGTGCTTGGAAGGTCGTTCCACATTTGTGGAACGATGCATGAGAAGAGTCTGGATTGTCCTGAGCGTGGTGTAGGCACTGCTAGCCGACGATCCTGTGATGACCGGAGCGGCCGGGCCGAGACGTAAGCCTTTGCAAGAGGATTCAGGTAGATGGGAGCCGTACCATCTCAGACTTTGTATGCTAGTGTTAGCAATTTGAATTTGATGCGTGCTGCTAGCGGTAGCCAGTGGAGCTCAATGAACAGAGGGGTGATGTGTGCTCTTTTTGGCTGATTGAAGACCAGACGCGCCGCTGCGTTCTGGACCATTTGAAGAGGTCTCACAGTACAGCCTGGAAGACCAGTTAGAAGGGCATTGCAGTAATCGAGGCGGGAGATGACAGTAGATTGCACCACGAGCTGGGCGGCATGTTGTATTAGGTATGGTCTGATCTTTCGTATGTTATACAGCGCAAAGCGGCATGGACGCTGAAATTACAGGTGTGGGCCCACTTTAAAGAACAAGTCACCCACTACCAGAGTATTACTCCACTCCCACTTCCTGTTTGAAAAATGCAACAAATGCTGTTGCCTAGCAGACCGAGAGGGTGGAGCCGCTAACAAATACACACACACACGACATTGTGGCTGCATCTCAATTCAGGGTCTGCATCCTACGTCGGCCGGATTCGTCGGCCGGTTACGTCACAGCGCCGCGACTAGGCCTGTCCCAATTCGAAGACTCCTTCAAATGTGGTCGACGAATCCGGCCTTCTTTTTGCCTGAATGAAGGATGGGTCCGGTGTATCCATCAATGGGTAGCATTTCCCAAGATGCCTTGCGGGCCGGCCGGTAGAAAAACGGCGGACAGTGAAGCGGGAGCTGTTGGAGAGGATTGCGCATATAAATGTCAGTATAAACTTGAAAACTGTTAGGTTATGGACTTTTGGTGATACATGAACGTTATTTTAGTTAGAAATGTTACAGTAAAAGTGCTTGTATTGCAGTCTCGGCTCGTATGTTCGGCCGCTCGGTGTCGTACTTCTCCCGCTTCGTTTCCCCCCTGATTTTAATAGAAGTTTGTATTTTAGGTACAAGAGAAAACCAGGGAATTTATTAAGCTTAGGGAGGAGATGGACCACATGATCACTGGAGCAAAGTATTCGGCGGCTGTGGCATGGAGGTACAATAACATCTCATATTTTAAAAACTCGTTTGAGTTTATTGTTTTCTGTGAAAACATGAAAGGAATAACCCGTTGTCCTCTTTTCTCTTCCTGTTTCTTTTCTTACATGTTTGTTCAGACTATTCTGGAGAAAATGGGCATCCAGGGGAAGGTGCCAGCGATGACCAGCTTCTGGAGCTGATCAGGGAGGACATGAGGCTGCAGAGGGAGGCAGAGCAGCAGAGGGCAGGAGAGAAGGGAGAATTTTGACAGCTTTTTACTTTGCTAGAAAAAAATGGTTAATAAAGATTAAACATGTACATATAAAAGAAATATCTAAATAAAATCAGTTCTGCATTAAACTCTTGAATTTTATTTTGGTTTACAAATGAGAATTGTTTACTAGAGGGTATCCCGCTGGGTCTGAAAAGTCTTAAAAGGTGATAAATCGGTTTTGGTCAAATGAAGACCCTTAGAAAGTATTAAAAACTATTATCACATCTTTGCTCAGGCTCAGCTTGTCGAAAGTATTTCCTCTGAATTAGCTCTCCAACGGTCAAGGAAATGATTAAAGATCTAAATAAAACTTCGAGCTCCATCGTTTAAAGTTCCTTCTCCCTTCTGCTCAGCGGTTCCACGGTTGCTAGGCGACGGAACGTTCGCCGAGGGAGAGGCGGGAATTCATGAAGGCTAGGCCTGTCCAAATTCACAGCCGTTAACATCCGGTCTACTCGGCCGACGGAGGACCCAGCCCACGTCGGCCGAGTAGGCTGGGTCCTTCGAAGGATGCAGACCCTGAATTGAGACACAGCCTGTGACATCATAATGTACCAGTTTACATCATAGCATACCTCTTAGCCAATAGCGATGGCAGATTTAAATTCAAATGCAGTGCAGAGTTTTTACCTGACAACGGCACAACACTGCCAGTTTTAGGCAGAAAATTTAAATTTTAACTAAAATGCACTAAAGTGCAAAACTATCAACTACACGTGTCTGCAGCACGATTAGACACACATTTATATCGTTTATCAGAAAAAAATAGTTGATTTGGGGGTGACTTGCTCTTTAAGGTAAATGTAGAATGCAGGGCTTTTGTGACTTTTAAGGCCCAGCTGAATCTACCGTGCTGCCATGGCGATGCCTCATTTTGACAACAGTGTGAAACCAAAGCGACAATAACAGATGGCAAACTGGGATGACCTGATGTGTCTTGAATGCAACGTTTGCCACTAGATTTTTTGGGAAGCTGTCAGCTGAAGCAGATGAGCGAGTCTCAAGCTTCCATAAAACACAGCGATTTAACAATGTACCGGCCTATCATGAAAGGAAATGATTCTGCACAGAGGAACGATGTTGCTGTTATGCATTCTGATGTGATGCTGTTTTGCATAAAACTGCCATACTGTTGTAAATCACAGGAACCACAGTAATGTGGCGCGTGCCTGTGTATATATGTCGATGCTGTGTGTACTGGCTTGGCAGAAAGTGACAAAGCAACAGATGTAGAGGGAGCAGCAACGCAGACACACGGGCACATGCTCACCAGCGGACAGAGACACATTCAGGAACAAAAGAGAGAACAAGATGACACTGGGGAGGGTGACCAATGCATGTGTCTCCCACAGCGTCAGAGCTGGCAGTGAGCTGTGTAGTGTCCAAAAATACTCAAGACAGCCCGGGTGGATATATAAAATGACAACAGAGAGTTCTACCCTAATCCATAAGCAGAGAGGAGGAAATTACAACAAAATGAGTGGAAGAGGGGAGGGGTGAGGGAGGTGAAGGAGCGGGAGGTTAGAGCAGGAGCAGGTGAGAGGGACACAGGAAAAGAGAGTCAAGAAGGGAGATAAGCTGCAGCGCTCCCTTCGACAGCTAAACCGAAGAATCAAAAGGAAACAGAGCCAAATCCAGGAGGAGAGCTCAGGGAGCTGTTCCTGATATCAGCTACAGAACAGCAGACTACACGGCACCGCAGCTCAGCTCAAAACGACGCCCTTCTACAGAAATGAGAGCAAAATGAAACCAGAGGCTGGCCTACGGTGGCCACGAGTCACAGAGTAGAGCCAGAACAGGACCAGTTCACCTCTAGGCTCATTTACAATCAAACAGAGAAGTTTTACACCAAATACTAACAGACTGCTGCCACTGGAATAATTTTGATCCTGAGCCTTGTTAAAATGACGACTACTGAACAGGATCCACGATTCCTAACAGATCATTCTGGCATTACGTTCATGGTGACTGTACTGGGGAGTAGGAGTCCAGCTTACATCACTAAACACTGGTTCCCCACAGGTAACGACACACAGTGCTGCTCTACAACAACTCACCCACTTGTGATGTAAAACCCATACTCCTAAAGCAACAGCAAAAGCTAAAGAGCCTGCTGCACCAGGAGTCACAACCTAACAGGTCATAGACCACGACTCCACATAATCTATTGACTAAGGACTTCGACTCACATTAGCTTCACAGTGAGCTGCCCCTAACTTGAAGGAAAACCCAGGTCATTTTAAAGTGTGTGTGTGTGAAGGTTCTAGTTATTTTATCCCTGGACCACCTGTTAGAATAGAATACAAAGCTTTATTTGTCATTGCTCAATAGAAGGTCAGGTCATATGTGCAAAACTGCAAGGCTGCTTCAAGGTGCTGATCTATTTATGTGTAAATTAAAAACTCAACTACAAACGAAAGCATAATATTGCGCATAGGTTGTATTTGTTGGGTGGCTGAGTTAAATGAGCCAGATCAAGCCATTTTAAACCTTTGACAGCAAAGGTGGACACGGTCCTTGATCAAATGTTACCAATGGCACCACTGGGATGTCATTTTATCTTAAATAAGAATTACTTTCTTCAGCCTGAATTTGTATCTGGAAGTTAAACGGTCTGTTTCAGTGAGGCTCCGCCCACAAGCCCACTCCGACAAAACGTGCCTTCAACAGCGTCGTAGGTCAAGTCAATTGTATTAATTATGGTAGTCCAGCAGTTGAAGCTTCCACGCAGGCACTCCAACCACTGGGCTACCAAGTCTGTTATGGGCTCGACACACGGGAGGCAACATCACCTCTCCTCCATTCATTTTCAATGAGACATGCGCGACAAAGCGATAATCGCGGGTCTCCCTCCTACTAAGCGAACCTCGAAAAGCGTGCGTGTGAAATTTTGCGCTCGTGCACGTGTCGTGCACAGGCGACCCATCGACGCGATCCCAGAAAGTTGAAATATTTTCAACTTTTCATCGCAGTCGCTCTGACGAGGACCAATCACCGGAGGTTTCATTCACTGACCAATGAGCGGATAGGATGCTCCGTACATCTCCGAGCAAACATGGAGGAGAAGTTGATATAATAAAGTATTTTTGAATTGAATTTGAATACTTGCTGTGACGGATTTCCCAGAACCGTACAATATTTCTACCAAAGAATATAGAGATAACTCTAGCAGCACCTTGTGAAACATCATATCTACCGCTTTAAAACTCTGAACCGCTTAAATAACCTTAATTCCCTCTAACCTGACACAGCCAATCAAAACAACGGAAGATTCGATTTCACCATGGAACAGAACGCGTCGACGGCTTTGCCGCTGGCCGTGGGTCGCCTCCCGTATGTCAGGTAATAAAAGCGACAAATTTCGCTGATCGCGGTCGTTTGTCGCCTCCTGTGTATCGAGCCCATTAGGTGACTTGTAATGGGCTCGATACACGGCAGTGGCCAGCGGCAAAGCCGTCGGCGCGTTCTGTTCCATGGCGAAATCCAATCGTTTTGATTGGCTGTGTCAGGTTGGAGGGAATTAAGGTTATTTAAATGGTTCAGAGTTAAAAAAAAGCGGTAATGATGTTTCACAAGGTGCTGCTAGAGTTATGTGAAATCTTACTTCTGATTTTACTATATTAAAAAAAACAGAGAATGGGTTCATCCCATATTACAAACCAGGAGAGGGCTACTCTCTGTCTATCGGGACATGCTTCAACTTATCACACGGTTTGGAGCTCACATTAAGATGAACACAGTCACAGAAGGAGAAAAGGAGTCCACGTTTGCTCGGAGATGTACAGAGCATCCTGCCCGCTCATTGGTCAGTGAATAAAACCTCCGTTAATTGGTCCTCGTCCGAGCGACAGCGATGAAAAGTTGAAAATATTTCAACTTTCTGGGATCGCGTTGCTGGGTTGCCTGTGCACGACACGTGCACGAGCACAAAAATTTCACACGCATGTTTTTGCATTTCACTTAATAGGAGGGAGACCCGCGGTTATCGCTTTGTCGCGCATGTCTCATTGAAAATCAATGGAGAGGCGATGTCGCCTCCCGTGTGTCGAGCCCATAACACACATGCTCTGTGCTCCATTACGTGCGTCCTTGTGGACAGGACTAATGGTTTTTACGGCGGTGTTTTGTCCCCATTACAGACGTCACTCGTCAGAATATCCACTCTGGTACTGGTGGAGGTTTAAAGCAGTCATCTGTGACACGATTCTCAACCGCAGCATGGAAACAACCGCTCTATGCCCGCAACTCGGAGAAAGTGGGCGTTAGTGACCTACTTCCAGAGAAGGTGGGTTACAGATTCGAGACTAGCTTCAGGGGGAGGAGCATAGCATAGTTTATTTATATAGCACATTTAAAATGCAGCATGGAAACAACCGCTCTATGCCCGCAACTCGGAGAAAGTGGGTGTTAGTGACCTACTTCCAGGGAAGGCAGGTTACAGATTCGAGACTAGCTTCAGGGGGAGGAGCAGGGCCTGATGACACACTTGGGCTACCTTTTCCTGCATACAGGCCTGAAATTAAGTTAGAAAAAATTGCATCCGAGGAAGGAAAATGAATGAATACAGGAAAAAAAGCATTTGGGGTTGAATTTTCATCATATGGAACCTTTAAAGGTGGTCATCACCTTAAGGATGAAACCGTTTGAGAGTGTATTTGTTCTTGGCCCACCAGAGCAGCGGTGGCTAAGGGGTTAGGCATTTGCCCTGTATTTGGAGGGTGGGCAGTTTGAACTCTCTGATTCTGTCCATGGAGAAGCAGGATGTCAGTTGAGCGAGCGCTAAGCACTGCCCACCCACACAAACAGACACCATGGTCATCTTTAACTGATACAGAGAATTAAAACTTCTTTTCTTTCTGAGCAAAGGCAATGTCAGTTTTATTGTGTTGATTTTTTTCGTTGAAAGTTGATAAAGTTTTAACTGATATAAAGCATAGTTTTGGTTTATTTAATCTCTTTATTTAGTTTTTTATTACTTATTCTTAAGTCAAATATTTAAAATGAGCATTTTGAGAATTTATATTTTAATACCTTTCTTGTTAATTTGACATCAACAAAAGAACGTTAACATTGTTTCTTCGATGATGCTTGAAGATTTTAGTTTATCATAAAATTTCACCTAAAACTAGCAGAGAACATTAAAGAGTGAGAAACAGTGATTTGTTTAAAGAGCAAGTCACCCACTACCAGAGTATTACTCCACTCCCACTTCCTGTTTGAAAAATGCAACAAATGCTGTTGCCTAGCAGACCGAGAGGGTGGAGCCGCTAACAAATACACACACAGGCTCGGAACGACATTGTGACATCATATGGTACCAGCTAACGTTCTAGGGTACCTCTTAGCCAATAGCAATGGCAGAATTAAATTCAAATGCAGTGCAGAGTTTTTACCTGACAATGGCACAACACTGACAGTTTTAGGCAGAAAATTAAAATTTTAACTAAAATGCACTAAAGTGCAAAACTATTGACTACACGTGTCTGCAGCACGTTTAGACACACATTTATATAGTTTATCAGAAAAAAGTTGATTTGGGGGTGACTTGCTCTTTAAATAATATTTTATACCATGATTTTGAATGATATGGAAAATGATGTTGGGATAGGACTTCTTCCATATCACCCAGCCCTCCCTATTTTGGTAGAACACATTTCTCCTGACGGAGGTCCCCAGACTCTGACAAAATGAGCAAGAAAATAAAAACCTGGAAGTAACAGAACCTGCAAAAGAAGTCCTTGGAGAGCATTTAAGAGGCACAAAGCCCCTTTGGAGCCAAGAGGGAACAACGCGCCGTCTTCAACCTCCAGGGGCCTGGGTCTGACCAAACCAGGACCAGTGTTCAAACACACCACTGCTGACGTCAGGTCAACATCAAGTAAAGCCTGCAGCAACCTCAGGTAGGACACTAGAGGAGAAAATGAGAAAGAGGTCAGAAAAGCAGAGTGGTAATGACTGACAGTAAGGAAAGTTTGAGGACAGAGGTTTTTTAGGGGGAAAGATCTCTCAAGCTCACAGCAGAAATCAAGACATAGAGCAGTGGCAGATGAAAACACCTGATAGGGATTTCTGGCCTAATATGTGACAGAAAATTCAGGCAATAAGTTTAACTTATCAGTGCCGAGCTGAAGGAAGATAAGCAGAAGTGAGAGACTAGAGTCGAGATGGAGATGGAGATGTGAGTTCAAAAGGGCTCCTAAAACACTGGATTTAAGTGAGAGGCCAACCATCTGAAACCCACTTATGCCATGTACACTGTGATTAAAGGTCTCTGAGGGGGGAGGCCTAATTAGTGGCAGCAGAGCAGAGAAAAGAGAGACGGAAGAATGAGGGCAGAATGGGAAACATTGGGGAGATAAAAAGTGAGACCAAGAAGAGGCTGAGTGAGCAAAAGGAGAAGTGATGGAGGGGAAGAGAGAGAGAGAGCAGAGGGAGCCGATACATCACAGCGGCCCAGACAAGAAACGTATCCGGCTGACAGACAGGGACACAGGAGCAGCAGGGTTGATCTGTCTACCACTGCTGCAGAGGGAAGTGGGGCACATAATATAATGAGATCCCCACCAGAATACTTGATTCACACAAGATTCAAAACAGACACGATAATCACACATCCTAAAGCGTCTAGGTGTTACGTAACCTGTTATGTGTCTATAATTATTTAGGACAGTGTGACAGCGGGAAGCGCTAAACTACAGGGAGAAATAAACAGCAGGAGAAAAGGGAAAACACGGGGGTTTATAGTTTCAGTCGTATAAAAACCAAAGTTCTGGTGTTGTCACCCAGCAAGAGGTTGTCTGTGTTTCTCTTCTGAAGAAGCAGTAGCTGCACAGCTGTGTCTAGACTCCAGCTGATGCTGGTTTGGACCTACAAAATCAGAAACACAAAGCAAACACGCAGCAAAGAAGAATTCAGAAGTACAAAGACGTTTAGGCCGAAACAAGAATGTATCGAAGGTTTTCTCTGACATACATCAGACAAACGCAAGAGTTTAGTATTCGCTGTGCTGTAAGTTTGGTGTCTTGTCCTTGGCTGAGTCTAATCCTGGAGCAGTGATAAGAGCTGAGCTGTGGTGTGGTGTGTACCTGAGTGGAGTGAATGCACTGCAAGGTAATGAGGGAGGACAGGAGTAGATGGCTGCAGCACAGCAGAGCTGACGGAGGACGAGCTGATGGAAGTGGGGGTGGATCAGAAGAGGAGGAGGAGATGATGGTCTGTAGCTGCTGCAGCAGCCTGCTGTTGGAGAGCAGCATGGAGACAGCTGGGAAGAAGAGGCAAATAAGGAATGTGCTCTTGTGTGTGAGGCCACAGCGACTGAGACCATCTAGAGTTAACCCCAAGTGCATTGATGTTGAAACACTCTTACATCATGCTTTTGTACCACATCTCAGAAACACGTGTAGAAGAAGCACCAAAACAGGTATCAGGAATCGTGTGCTGACTGTTGGTAGGGCTAGACCCAACAGCATGGATACAATTCAGAGGGTTGTGATGCAATACAATATAAAATTAAAAGACCTACTTTTATGATTTGGCCTCTTTTAGTTAGTGTAACGTGATGAAGGAGCTATTCCTCCAAGGTTATTTATCCTCTATCCACAGTTCCTTTTGACACAGCGCCAGAGTGCATGAAACAGCCTCAAGGTCATGCATTCGCTTCTAAACTGTTTACTTTCCAGCAAGAGAAGACAGAAGATGAAGAGACTCTTTTCTTTTATTAAATCAAAGAACTCTATTTTTAATAAAGCTAATCAAAACAACTGTTAGTCAATAATACAATGTGACCGATCTGTGAAATCACAATATTATGATTAATATGTTTTAATAAGTAAATGACTTAATCTAGTTCACTAGACACACTGGCACACGTAATGTAAACACATGACACATTGCTGTTGCTGAGCCAATCAGAACCTTCCTAGTCTGAAGCGTGGCAGAGTCTCTGTGGTGTTTATAAATCTGCCCGTTTTGATTCGTCCAGAATCAAAAACATCCAGATTAATAAAACAGTCCCAACGCCATCTTAAGTTCAGTTCTCAAGATCCCATGAAGTTCACAAGTATTGGACCGGCCATTCTGTACTTCTCTTTTTAAGCTGAGAACAGTCAAGCTGGGAAAATCTGTTGTTTTTACCAACCAAGCAATGGTTCCTTTCAGAATAAAAGCTGAACTCGCTGACCCAAGGAGGGTCCCCTTTTGACGCTGTGAACCACCTGTCGCTTTTTACCTGGAGACTATCCAAAGACTGGTTTGTCATGCAGTCAACGCTGTTTCATCGGCTCCAGTACCAGAGGAGGGTCTGTGGACCTGGCATCCGGATCTGTACGGAGGTCTCAATTCTGAGGGTATGTGGATGCGACAAATATGGCGTCTCATGTGGTTATGAAGCTACTCTGACACATCCATCATTAGAGAGTTAGTCTTGTTTAAATTGTTTAAAATTATTTAGTAATAAACCACCTTAAACGTTTGAAGGTCTCTCTCTCTTCTCTTGTCTCTCATTTAATACAAAGTGTCATCTAAATCCCTGCATTAAAAAGAACCAATCTTCTGATTTAAATAACCCAGTGTCCGTAAGATGGATTTCATACTTGATATGAAATTTTAATGTCTTAAGGTACTTCATTAAATGTAAATTACTAATGTTACATTAGTTTTAACTTGCTCTTATCATGTTACTTGTTTCATTGTATTCTTGTGCCTTTCATGCTTGTTTTGATCTGTTGTATTGTCTGTAAAGCACCTCGGTGGCATGCCTCATGTCTGTAAGGAGCTATACAAATAACATTGTGTAGAGTTACCCTGGTTTCACACTACAAGCATCAGCGGACAGGAACAGCAGCGGAGTGGCTCACTCGCGAACTTCTAAGAGGTCCTTTTCACACCAAGAGAGTCTTGGCCGCAGCACGGCTTCCTCGCTGCGGCTCGCTGTACTCGCGAGATTGTAAAATCCCTCTAGACTTCCGACGCCTCCCCCGCGAGGAATCACATCGTTGCACTTCTCGAAAGAAAATGGTGGTAAACACATGCTGACGTAAGTTATATATGACATTGCAACGTTGCATTTTATTTTGAAAATATCCAGGGATTTTACACCGAAACCGTGTGTGGTCTCCTGTCTCGCACTATGTGAACTGCGGAAATTGACGTGAAACCGGGGTTATGGATGCACTTCACCTCCTCTCTATGTGACTGCCTTCACCTGAGATCAGTTTGTCATTGGAAACCCTGGCCAGGCACAAACACATGGCTTCTAGATTCGTTAGGGCACGCACCTCCATCACGGTAAGGTGGCAGTTCAAAAAGTAGAACTCTTTCTCAATAGAGTTCCTGCTTTTTTCTGATGATGTGGTCCTAATAGCTTCTCCAACTTATGACCATCAGCTCTTGCTGAGGAAGTTCACAGCCAGCTGGGATGAGGATCCACACCTCTTGACCATAAACAAGTGGATTGCTAATATTTGCGCAGCAACTCTTTGTTTGAGGCTTACTGTGTAGTCTGTGATCCTGTCTGTCTCTCATGAAGTTTGTTGTCAGGATACTTTGCAACTTTTCATATTTCTAAATCACTTTCTTGAGCCAGTATGTGCTAAAATGATCTTTCACAGGGTTAATGAAATGTCACTCATACCCCCATCGCCCCCTGTGGCCAGAATATTACACCACCTGTTAGACTTGGAAAAAACTGAGCCGACATACCTGGTGCTGCAGTCTGCTTCCAGCACCTTTCCTGCATGATCATGAACACCGCTGATTTGTGAAATCTAATGATGAACCGACCTGCAGACTCTAATGAAGGCTGGGGAAACGATTCAGCTGTTGGATTAAGGTGTTAAAAAAACGAAGGCACAGTGAGGAGGTAAGTTTAGCTTTTGGTTCTACTAAACTGACACTAGGATGTGCTAAAAGCAAGCCAAAACATCCAGGTGTGCCTTTAATGAGACACTGGTTGTTACCATTTTGACAATAAAGAACTACCGCTAGCAGCTTTACCTTTATATTTCTTAAACAGTTGAAAAAGAAAAAAATTCGGCTTTTGTACTTAGCTTGTTGCACCACTGATGCTGGAATGATTTTCTTAGAACGTTTTCTATTTAACGAGTGATTAATGAGGCCCATCTCTAATCATACTGAAGGAGCTTTAGGTTCTGACTAAGCTTTGGCCTCACCAGTGTTGGGAACGTTACTTTTAAAAAGTAATTATAGTTACTGATTACTTTGTCAAAAAGTAACTTAGTTACTAACTGAGTTACGAGATTATAAAAGTAACTAATTACCAAGTAAAATAACTACTTAGTTACTTTTTTCATTAAAGAATGCCAGAAAAATGGGTTAATTGAACTTACTTAGTTTACTATAAATTACTACAATAGTGAAATATAAATGACTAATGACTGGAACGTAATAAAATGTATGTCTAAATGTTTTTATAAACCTGAATAATTTAAATAAATAAGCACTTAACAGGAGGAACTACAAATATGAACATTACACTAATCTAGACTATTAAAAGGTCACTCTGTGATATTTAACAAGACCCCAATCAGCTAAAATTTAAATTTGCAAATAGAAACACCTGTAAAGGTTCCCAAGCCTTTAAATGGTCTCTCAGTCTAGTTAAATTACAGAAATGAATGTAATTTTGGACAGTATTTAAATTTTTCCAGCTTCACATAATTGTGTGTTATTAGTAGCATTTCTGTTGCTGCTAATCTAGTAACGGTTAAATAAATAAATAAAATCCTTTAAAATGACACTAGAAGAGGCACAAGCCTGATGGAGGACTTACATTTACTAACTTGGGTCAGACCCAACCACAGAACAGCTGAAGCTGGGTGGTAAACACACACAGGTAGTTCTAATAACACCTGAGCTCCATGACGTCTGAGACTGATGCATCAGTGTTACAGCGGGACTAAAGACATGATCAGAAACAGGTTACAGCTGGATGATCTAGGAAGGTAAAAGATCAGGTCGTCTGAGCGGTGAACAGGTGAGCGGACCTTCGGGACGTCCCGCTGTCACGCTGAGAAGGGCACGGCTGCAGATCCACACCTGCAGCCGTAGATATTCATCACATCTTCCTCGTTCTTCACGGCCGTGATGCGCTTGGATGAAAACATTACCTCTTTAGCTCCTGATCAGCTGATGACAGCTTCAACACACCGCGCTGCTTAACGCACGCATTTTCTTTTGATAAAAGAAGACGGTAATTAATTAGTTTGCTCGTTCCTGAAAAAAAATTTTTTTTATTAACGCAGTTATCTTAAACGGCGTTATTCCCATCACTGCTCTGTTGGGTCTACAGCAGGCAATGACTGAGACCGTGAGGGTCTCCGCCCACCCGGCCAATCATCATCGTGTTTGTAAGTGCGTTACCGACACCTCTCTCTCCCTGGCTGCAGCTGAAGTGTGGCGGTCAGAAAGCCTCACACTGTTGCTCAACGTTCGACAAGCACATAGTAACACACAACCTTCTGTCCCCAGTAACGTAACGGCGTTGCAACGGCAGGAAAAGTAATTAATTAGATTATTCCGTTACCTAAAAAAGAACGCTGTTAGTAACGCCGTTATTTTAAACACTGGGCCTCACACACACACTTTTTCTTTTATAGGCACAGACTACATCAGAGTGTGATGAAATACATCAGCATTTGATTCCTGTTGCTGCTGACCTCAACATTGTACTCGGTGCATCTTGACACCAGAGTGCTGTCAGTGCTCTGTAGAACTATGGTGCCCTTGTTGAGCTGTTGGATTTCCTCCCAGTGAAGGGAGAGCTTACAGGATTCAGACAGTCGTTCTGACTTGATGTCTAACTCCAGTGTGAAGTGTTACCTGACTTCAAAATGCTGAATGAGGTGATGTGTAAGTGTCTCCTGCAGAATCCAAGCAGGGACAGAAGAAAATGAAAGCTAACATCAGAAGTCGCCGCTCTGATACAAACCTAACAATGGCTTTTTGCAGCCATTTCCCATGATGGGTTTGATTACACACAACCCAGCTGCCATTTTAGGTCCAAGTGGACTTCAGCTGTTGTTATAGCAAGTCAGTCTGGCTGTAACTGTTTTTATAAGACTCTAGAGTATCAGTGCAAACGGTCACAGTTCATCTTTGCCTTTTTTTTATGAATGTTCAGTTTAGCCCCATTCCCACCTGTACCGGGTCGGCCCGGGCCGGGTAGCGTAGGTTGTTTACATATCTGGGTGGCCTGGAATTTTCCCGGGCCAACCAAGGCTCATTCTCGGCCCTCTTCCCGAG